ATATCTGTCTTCGGCATTTACTGTCGGATCTTAAATTATAATATGTATATCGATATTCTTGTTTACAACTTAATTGACCTTAAGTACCCCGTTCTAGTACTTATCCACAATAACTCAGTTCCAACAACCCTAATGCCAGTAAATTAAAGCTTGCCAAAAATCATTAAACTTTTGCGCTTAGCCTCAGTGATTTTATAAATATTGGAAACGTAATTCATATTTACAGCTTGGCGACGAATAACTGTTACCCAGTTTTTTTTAATAAAAGGGTCCTTTTTAGATCTTGCGAAAAAAAAACATTTTATTGTTAGTTTTTCACAGATTTTACCTTAATTTTATTAATTATTCTATTTTCGAAAAAAAACAACCGTTAAACAGTTATTTGTCGCCGTGCTGTAAATGTAGCGCAAATATTACTTTTAATTTGTGAATCATTTAAGAAAAAAAATTTTCAAATGCTTGAAACTGTGTTTGTTGGAAAAGCTTTAAGATCTTTTGAAATTACTATGATTTTTTATCTCTTTGATAGACATTTTGTGTGTGTTTTTACGGTTTGAAAAACTTTTACACTCCACTTAATTTGTTTACAATAAAAATTGCATTCCCTGCTTGCCATATTTATCATTTCTATTTATGTACAACAATAAACATTTATTAAACGAGCCCTCGCATGTGCGCGTCTCCCAGCTTTTACTTGTATACATACAGTTGTCCACAAAATAATAGGAGTGCGATATTTTGATCAATTTTTGGCTATTTGTCTTTTGTTTATTTTATGTTTATTATTTTTTTTTATAAAATTATATCTGGTTGTACAACAAAATACCATGTAAATTAAAATTCCAAACTTTGTAAAAAAATTAAAAAAATTCTGCAAATTTTCTCCAAAATTTTCGAACTTTTTAATCCGAATCTTTAGAAAAAAATTTGCAATTTTGTAGGCCATTTAATTCTAGTCTGAGGAAGTGCAAGCCTCAAGTTGGTAAAACATTCCGTTTATTTTTGAGAATTTTTTTAGTTGAAGGTGTTTCACGTATTTTCCATACAAAGTGTGTTCGACAATTGCCAAAACAAAAAAATTGCCAAAAATTAACGGGATTTTTTACCAACTTGCAACTTGCATTTGATCAGACTCGAATTAAATGGGCTACAAAACTACAAACTAAAATATTTTCTAAAGATTAAAAAGTAGGAAATATAAATTGGTATGGTGTTTGTTGTACAACCAGGTAGACTTTTATAAAAAAAAAAAAAAAAATAAACATAAAATAAAGAAAAGACAAATAGCCAAAACTGATCAAAATATTGCACTTCTATTATTTTGTGGACAACTGTATGTATGTATGTATGTAAGTATACTCGTATTGTTGAAACTAATACATTTTGACGGATCACAATTTCTAGCCCACATGGTTTAGGCAATCACTTATTAGATGCTTTTCAGTTTAATAATAACTATAATTGATTAGTCTATTAATTCATTCACCGCTTTGCAATTGAATATCATTCAAAATGACAACAAACGAGTGAGATTTACATACATACATATGTATATGGATAATAAAAAAAAGTAGTTCCTGTTTGATCAGTTGAAAAAGCCACGTTTTAGATAACACTGTGCGGCATAAAAAGTGGCTTGATTATTTTGCATAATTATTTCCTGATTCGCACAACTAATATATTAATAATAGATTGGCGCTTATATATATTTATTAGTGTTTGGCCGAGCTTCTTTTCCGATTTGTGGCGTGCGCCTTGATGTTGTCTTACAAAGCGGAGGGGCCTACAGTTTTACGCCGACTCCGAACGGCGATTGTATTTTTATGATAAGCTGTTTTTCATGGCAGAAACACACTCGGAGGTTTGCCATTGCCTGCCGAGGGACGACCGCTGTTAAGAAAAAACCTTTTTTCTATATTTTTTGCGATGTTGCTTTGATCAGGGCTTGAACACAAGTGCCGATGAGTGAAAGCGCGCACTGCTTACCACTACACCACAGCGGCCGACACGCACAACTAAAGGGGTGGAAAATTCCACTAAGTCGCTCAATAAACCTGATTTCAGATTCCTAATTAGCAACCCCAGAAACCCCCTGGTAACAAGTTCCCACCCATGACAATGCGTAAATCGTTCAGTATCAACGTTTTAATTTTAGTATATTTTTTTTTTAATTTGATCGCCATATTGGATCCACCATTTTGAATTTAAAAAAATTGACTTCAGATTCGACTCTCGAGTGCCGGGTTTCGAACAATTCCAATCATTAAAAAAAAATGGATTGCAATTTTGGATCCGCCATTTTGAATTTTGAAAAACTGACTTCAGCTTCCTAATTAGCAATCCCAGAAACCTCCTGGTAACAAGTTCCAACCCATGACAACGCGTAAATCGTTCAGTATCAACGTTTTAATTTTACTAGTCTATTTTCGAGAGCATATTTTTGGGCACTAGGCCCATTCTAACTGTCCAAGACAGGTGCGCCATTAAGGGAATGTTCCCCAATAATACCAGAGTAATTATATGTAAAACCACATTTTTAGCTGCATTTTAAAATGCCAAGGAAATGAAAAAAAATTAAAAACATCAGCGTTTTTATAAAAAAATCGACCAGCGCGACCACTAAAACAAATTTTTTTCCAAAATAAAAAAATACGCGTCTCTTTTCTTTATCACAAGTAACAATATTTTGATGTAGCGTTTATGAATTTCCAAAAAGAGTGTTTTTATGAACCACTCTAATGTACATATGTATGTATATGTGGGTCCTGTTTTCCAGATCAAACTCGTAAAAATTTTGTTAAATCGTGTTATCGATTATTCCAATTACTCATCGGAAAAAATGTTGGCAATCACTGGATTACAAGTACATACATATAAATAGTACAAATGCAATTCGCATAGCAGTAATAACTTATTCATTAAGCTGACGTGTCGGAGTACACTGAAAAATATTCAATAATTTTAGTAATTTTTTTTTAAATAAATATAGTTTATTCATCAACGAGGACCAAATAAATCCAAGTTTCTAACTTTGTGCCATATTTAAAAAAAAAAAATCAACAAACTTTCGTAAAAATGTGGTGCTTTTTAATTAGATTTTCCAGAAAGATGAGAATGCAGTTTTGTACCACATTTAATTTTAGTATAATAAAGTGCAAGTTTGAAACAGCTAGGACGTACCGTTGATTTTTAACAATTTTTTTTTCTTGACGGTGTCAGTCATTTTCTTCCATACGAAGTGTGTTCGATAATTTTTTATATGGAGAAAATGAGCAACATCTTCAACAAAAAAAAAAAAAATGCCAAAAATCCCAGCTACAAAACTGCATACTCAAACGTTTTCTAAGAAATTTAAAAAGCTCGAAATTTTTGCGAAAGTTTGTTGATTTTTTTAATATAGCATGGATTTATTATTATTATTATTCGGCCTATTTTTATAAAAGAAATAACTAAAATTAAATAACAAAAAAATGTTAAAACTTGTCAATATTTGGCTCGCTTATATTTATGACACGGGGTGTATATGTACTAATATTTTACAACAATTCTTGATAATACTTTTGCCGCATTCAAGAACGGGGCATTAGCGATAAGAATCGCGAGATGTATGTATGTAAGTATGTACTTGTGTACATATGTATGTATGTATGGAATATTTTTCGTCTTATGAGCATTTTTATTTACATTAGGAATTGTTATTTCGTACTTATGTACATATTTTATGTTTGTAGCTAGTGTTGCTATACGAAAGGGGCTGGTCATATCGAATGTATTCAGAAAAAGTTTCTTCCCTTGCACAGGGACAGTTAAATTTATTGTTTTTGGTTTTCGCTGTTTGGTTTGTTATTCCGGAAAGGTAGTATTTATTCATTTTCCGTTGAAACTCCTGCTGCAGCATTAGAGAACTTTGTACCCACATTGTTCGCAGTTTTCTATAAAAGTCGTAGGTTATTGGACTCTAGCGCCATCCTGAAAATCTGTAGATCGGTCTGGCAGTTTTGATATTTAATTGTGTTGCTAATGCTGAGACTGAATTGTAACCTGTTATGAAAGCTGTCAAAGATAGCCACTTTCTGGAAGGCAAAAAAAATAAAATATATTTTTTATTTGAATTTAAATGAAAACTGACAGAAGGGGAAAAAATAATTTTCTAATAATAATTGCTGGCAAAACCGGCCGTTTGTGCGAATAAAAATTCAAAAATTAAAAAATGATTTTGTTTTCAAAGTTTATTTTTATTTTTTTAATTTTCTAAATTTTTTTAAATTAAAGACATTTTTTTTTAGTTCTTCCATAAATACAGTTGGAAAACTTATTAAAAAAGTAAGAATTCAACTCGTTTTCATTAACAAATTTAATTTCATTAATTTTATTTGTTAGGATAAACTACTAAAAATTGTTTTAAATAATCAAAAGTAAATGGTCGCCTTTTTCAGGGGAATATGCTGCCGTATGAAGAAGAACGTCGCTCCAGACGATTATTATAACCGACCACGAATTTTAAGTACATATGTATAATTTTTTTGATTTTGAAAGGACAGCCTTCGAATGTTGCAATGACATTTTTCAGCTTTCTCGAGCTTGGCTAAACACAAAATACACTCAGCACGGTTGCTTGCTTGGCTACCAAAGGACCCAGCGATATTTATGAGTCCACATTTCTATCTAACAGAAAGTCATTAAATAAAGCTAAATTATTTATTTTCAAAAAAACCTGAGGGTCGAATGTAGCGCCATGCAACACCAATGCATCGAAATATATATGTATGTACATACATACATATTCTATATTGTTTACACTTGTATTATTTATTATTGTTGCGCTTGTTGCCTTAGCAATCGTTGTGGTTGTCGTTGTCGTTTTCGATGTCATTGCCGCTGTGTACTCTTCAACAATATATCCACATGTATGTATACGAGTACTATATTCCCATTTAGCTGCGTACTCACGTCAAGAAATCTTTTGTTTCGATCGTTGGCAGCGTCAATTTGCTATACCTTTTGTGAATGTTCAAATCAGTTCAGTTTATCGTGGATTTTCAAGCGGAAAACTAAATTTCTTTTGTCAAGCTAGACAACAGCGATTACGGCAGCAGCAGCAGCAAAAGTGCAGCAAGTGTTTCTCAACTCCTCAATCTTAATTTGCATTGTAATTATAAAAATTAAATTATGTCCGCATTTCGCGTAAACGAGTGTGGGAATTATTACAAACTACTATAAAAAAATAAAACTTAGAATCAAAATTGTTGGCAAGCTAAGTACTAGCGTAGCAACATCGTTTGCTTCTAGCGATTAGCTGAGAACGCAGCTAGTGATTTTGTTTTGTTATGCAACAGAATGATAAATCGACGACAGAAATGTGATGATTGCAATAAAGAAAATATACAGATTATTGTTGTTGGTATTGCTCTGCATAGTGCTTGAAGTGTGTGCTTTGTGGTTGTTGTATTGCTTTCATTTAGTTTGCCGGTAAACGCAGTACCTATTATCCATGTATGTACCTATGAGGCTATAAAGATCTGACATGGTGAAAATTAATCGTTTTAAACAACCGATAAAAATCGACGTGACGATGACGAGTATTGCTTCTATTTAGATTGCAAGGTGTAGCCTCTGCTACAGCGTCGTTGGAGCCATAGGTGCATCACATCATCACTCAAAGTGAAGTTTTCGTATTTTGTTATGAATACTGTTGGACGCACTTTGTGTTGGTAAATCTTTCCATTGTCGCAATGGTTAGTGCGCACAAGTCGTCTTTTGAGTGCTTGCCAATGTGTAGGACGTCATTTTGAGTTAGCGATGTCTCTTTTTTATTTCGAAATTAAAATGTCATATGAATTTATTTATTTTTGTTTTTTTGTTTTTTGTTCTTTTCTCCCAACTGCAACGCAAAATAAAAGTGATGAATAGCTGCAAAGAGATAATATCAACAAAATTATAAGTACGTCATTAGCATTGCTTACATTTGCGCTGTGCTCTTTAATCAATGCGCTTTTGTATGAGTATATAGTGGAATTTTTTTTGGCGGGTTGGAGTGGGTGAAGGCGTGATTGAGTACTTAGGCGGCAGTTGTTGGGCTAAGGGTTCTAAATATAGTAAAAAGTAACAAATTGCAGTATGTGCGCATTATACAAATGAATAAACATACATAGATGTATGTATGTGTATATGTATATCTATTAGGGTGCATCACTCTCCATACAAAAAAAGTACTGTTTTTCCATCGAAATTATACAATTTATTATATTTTAACACTTCCGCCATAATATTTTGGAAAGGTATTAAGATTTAAGCTGGACCGATTTGAAAATTATCTAAAAATTTTATGAACGGAATCAAAAGATTTTTGGATGTATTTTCATCGGTTCAGCTGTCGTAAATCTTAATATTCGACAATTTTATTGAGCTTGAGGCCGTTTTAATGAAAATTGTTTGCGGAAAAAGTAATTGTTATAAGGCCATAAAAATAACAAAAAAAAACAAGTAAATCTTGACATTTTTCCAAAAGTTTTGGCGGAAGTCTTAAAATATAAAAAATTGTAAAACCGGGACTTTTTTTTCTGAGGCGCACTAATATATGTATGTACATATATGTATGAATTTATTGATGTATGTATGTATAGGTTTATATGTATGCTTTTCGTATCAATGAACTTTTGCGCTGAGCATGATAATGCGAATATTCAACTCCCACCGCGAAAAGTAAACAAATGTCCAATGAACCAATTCTTGCAGCAGTCAATATGTATGTAGATATATAGTCCGAAATTTCGCACTTAAGAAAGCTGCACATTATTTATATTTTACCACTACGCGCTACAATTTCCGAAACATTACTTAGTCATTTGCTATAATTTGGCAAGTGATTGGCACCCCTTTTTTGTTGTATGATTTTGCTTTAATTATTTAATGTACTAAGTATTAATGAATCCTTAGTAGAGCATTAATGCTACTTTTTTGGCTTCACAAAAGCTTCAGAAAATTTGGCGCACTCCTTTTTTTTGTCGTAGACGTGCTGGCGCCAGCAGGAAAAAGGGAGCAGAGCCAAATCGTCTCGTTTCAACTCCAATACAAACGAGGTCAACCCCTTGTTTGATAATTCCACCCGAATTGTGCTTAGAGTGAAAAGTTGCTAAGTCCACTTTTTATGAGAACTCATATTTTGATACAGAAGGCTAGAGAAATTTGAAATGCATTGTTTCGAAAATGATAAACGTACTTGTTTTATTTATAGGTCCAAAAGAAGCACCAAAAACCCGATAAGGCCAAATTAGTACGAAATATTTTTTCTACAATTAATATTTTGTTATTTAATTTTAGTTAGTACCAAATCCAAGTTTCAAACTCTGTGCACATAAATCAAAAAAACTTTCGTCAAAATTTTGAGCTTCTTAATTAGATTTCTCAGAAAGATTTTTAGTATGGAATTTTGTAAATTTAACATTTTTTTTTTACTTTTCCGCCCTTTCGGCGGCGTTTCCAAAAAGCCCCAAGTAACCGTGTAACAAGTTTCGAGGGAATTCAATAAATTTTTGAAAACTTCTCCGCTATACTTACTGGATTAAAAAAAAAAGTGATATTGTTTGCCACCCATGTTTATTTTTTTTTAGGAATTTTCAATTAAAATACAGTTAGGAATTTTCAATTAAAATACAGTTCAATCTCCAGACACCACTATCCAATTTGTATGTAGAATCGCTCGCTGATTCCGAACATCGAGTTATTTTATTTTTTTATATGGATAAGTTTTTGAGATGTTTGCATCTGCTTAAAACAGAGTGGTTCCACTTAGTCAGGTATATCTTACGAACCAATTAAATAATCGTAATACGAGATACGGACGTCCGTCACGCTAGCTGACCCACTTCTCCAAAAAATGATAAAAATTACTCAGGAATTAGGTGCAATTTAGGTGCAATTTAGGGCCTCCAAAATTAATTTAAGTGCTCACTCGGTTTCCGAGAAAATTGCAAAAATATATGGGTCAGCCAGCGTGACGTCATGCTAGCTGACCCACCCACTAATTTTCGTCGAACACTGGTAATTATTATTCAGGAATTAGGTGCAATTTAGGTGCAGTTTAGGGCCACCAAAATTAATTTCGGTGCACACTCGGTTTCCGAGAAATTCGCAAAAATGTGTTTTGGGTCAGCCAGCGTGACGTCTCGCTAGCTGACCCACCCACTAATTTTCGTCGAACACTGGTAAATATTATTCAGGAACTAGGTGCAATTTAGGGTTTAGCTGACCCACCCACTAGACCCTAAACTGTACCTAAATTGCACCTAATTGCTGATTAATATTTACCAGCGTTCGACGAAAATTAGTGGGTGGATCAGCTAGCGAGACGTCACGCTGGCTGACCCAAAACACATTTTTGCGAATTTCTCGGAAACCGAGTGTGCACCGAAATTAATTTTGGTGGCCCTAAACTGCACCTAAATTGCACCTAATTCCTGAATAATATTTACCAGTGTTCGAGGAAAATTAGTGGGTGGGTCAGCTAGCGTGACGTCACGCTGGCTGACCCATATATTTTTGCAATTTTCTCGGAAACCGAGTGAGCACTTAAATTAATTTTGGAGGCCCTAAATTGCACCTAAATCGCACCTAATTCCTGAGTAATTTTTATCATTTTTTGGAGGAGTGGGTCAGCTAGCGTGACGGACGTGAGATACGGCAAATGAAAGCAAATAAAATTCTCCAAAACCGTATACACATCACTTTTCGATAGCCCTGATAGTTTCTGAAAAATCAATTCATCATTCCAGATTGTTGTTTTTTTTTTTTTTTTGATGAAAAAATGCAAAAAACCCAAACTTTAACAGGGAAAAAATTCAACCTTTAACAGGAAAACGTTCAAACACTAACTACTTATGTGTAAATGTTTTGCACTTGTGTTAAAGCTTGTTCCTTTAGAAAAAACAAAAATTAAGCTACTAACGAAGAAAATCGATGGATAAATAAGAAAGTAATGATTGCTCAAATGAAAATGCGCAAGAATTTTTTGTATGTAATATGAGTGTTGCTCATACGCCACGTACACCTGCGTAGTTAGAGTGTTTGCATCGAAAACAAGAGGTGTCAGAAATGATTAAATAATTTCTCAGAAACTATCAGGTCTATCGAAAAGTGATGTAAATACGTGTTATTGAGAATTTTATTTTCTTCCATTTTCCGATTATTCAATTGGTTCGTAAGATACATATACGTAATTAAGTGAAACCACTATTTTTTTAAGCTGAATAACGGTAAATAGCAAATATCTCGAAAAGTTATCCATAGAAAACAAATTATATCGTTTTTCGGAATCACCGAGCAATTCTACATAGGAATTGGATAGTGGCATCCATAGAACATTTTTGCTGTAAACCAGTGTTACCAATTCGTTGGAATATTTTTTTTTGTATGTATGCTACCGCATAAAAGTGGGCCAAATTAAGCGATTTCCATATATATTTTTTTTTTTAACGAGCAGTCCCATACTAATTTGGTTTAGATCCGATTATTGCATCATGAAGAAATTAACGATAATCTTAAATTTTTATATGAGAATTGAAGTCGTTTTTTTTTGCTTTTTGTTTCTGTTATAGATCAAACTATATTTTAAATGAAAATTCTTAAAAATAAATAAACATATACATAAATCTCTAGTATAAAATACATAAATCTCTAGTAGAAAATTTGAAATTTTGACTTACGTGGTTTTGTTAGATAGATATATTTTTATATTTTAAAATTTTAATTTAAACCTTGTAGCTTTGATGGCATTCTTCAAAATGTTCTAAAAATCCGTGAATAATTTAGGAAAAAGTTGTCCCTTCGACGAATTATTGGCTTTCTGCCTCAGCGGAAAGACATCTTTGCGGTTAAATTTTGTGTTTACTGCTATAATGACATAACAACGGTCGCTAACAATTACTATAGCATTAAATTAGTTACGACCGCCGGTTAGAGCTGCATTTCTGCGCTTGGTAGAGCCCAGGTTCGATTCCTAATCGAAGCAACACCCCGAAGATTGTTGCTAGTAGTATATTTTGTGCCATGAAAAAGCTTATCAAAAAAGCGGCAGATGGTTTCGTAGCCCACATAAAACTTTACGGGCCAGTTTCTCAATGTCTGGTTAACACTAACTGCAGGTTAAACATCGTTATCGACTCCATAACTGATATCAGGGCTACTGCAAAATTGCGTTGATTTTTATTTTTTTTTATGCTGACGGCTTTTTGCACTTTTTTCTTATGGAAGAAAATGCGCAAAACCGTTTTCATAGGAAATTTAAAAAAAATTAATGCCGACTTAAGGCTAGCACTTTAATATACTAAAATTTAATGGGCTACAAAACTGCATAATCAAAAAGTTAAAAAAAAAATGAAATTAATTTTACTTATCTTCGGTGTAAAAACAAAATGCATAACTCAAATTATTGTAGAGTGCACCCCATAATACTATATTAAATATTGCGCAATACTCAGAGCTACCATTGTGATTTTTTTCACTTTTTTCAAAAAATTTGTATGCGAAAAATTTTACAAGAAAAAAATTTGTTTTAATATTTATTTTCATAGAGAATATTAATGCGTCTATGTGTGTGTTTTTTTGTTTAATTTTCTCCTCGCCCCGTTCTCGAGATATTTAGAAAACTATTTAATCGATTTTTTTTTTGTGCTGTAAAGTTTTTAAAAATATATTAATCAAGCTCAAATTTCATATTTATTTATTACTTATGTTTATGCATCAACCCAAAAATTTGAAACAAATCAAACACATGAAGTGTGAACTCCGTCCGTTTTGGTATGGAACACCCCATATATTGTTTTTTTATATTGTCCGATAAAAAAAGATCTATTGAAGCGTTTTGGTATGGAACACCCCATATATTGTTTTTTTATATTGTCCGATAAAAAAAGATCTATTGAAGCGCTGTGTGAGATGGTTGCACCCTTATTTTATTTTTCAGATCAGGTAATATGCAATTTAAGACACAGTATTATAGTTGACTTCCACCCAGCCTTAACTGCAGTTTATGCCATTTGGAAAAAGGAGACTACAATTCGAAGGGGGTAATTCCACCTATAAAGTAGAAGAAAACGAAAGAAAAAAAGGAAAACTTAAGAAAACAACCTCGTCGATCACCCCATGTTAGAATTATTGGAACTTCTCTGTGCTCTTAACTGCAGTTAAGCCTTTGGTGGAAAAAGGCTATTAGATTTACTCCCTGCTCGAAAAAAACAAGTTTTTTAAGAAAACATGCCTAAAGGCTGACTATGTTACCCGTATTGTTGAAAATTTCCAGCAAAAACAATAAATACAATATCTGATACAACAAAAAGCTGATTCGAATTCAGGAGACCTATTCATTCTGGTATTTTATGCTTGAGTTTAATCTCCGTTGCTATATTTTGCGACAGAGCCTTTGAGAACTGATTCTTATACAATTTTCTTTGTACTATCAGAATCCCATTCAATTGGTTTATATTCAGATAATACGAAAAAATCCTATAAATACTCAGTATTTGCATGAAGTTTTTAGTTGTTAATTGGGTTGTAGTAAAAAAAATGTCTATCGCCGCATGCTGTTACTCCGGTTAGCTTTTTTCCTCACCAGAGCCTGTCTGTTAAGTGTGATCTGTTGCCAAGATTTATTTAGCAAGTGAATTGGATCGTTGTTAAGAACGGGACATCCGTTTTTGACGAAAATGTACATCAAAGTTTATGTCGACGCTTCCTAACAGTATGTAACTATAATCGACTTCGAAACCCTTCCCTTTTTATTATAAATTCTGTTTTTTAAATTTGCGTTTCTTCATCTGAGTATATGCGTGAGTGGAAAGGCTAATTAAAAATAAAAGTATCTTAAAAACATGGTAACTACCATTACATTAAAGCCTTAAATAATTTAAAAGTAGTGGCAACACCACCCAAGCTACGAAAAGCATATGCGATAAATGAAAAGAAAGCAAAAGCAATACTACAATAAAAAATCAACAGCTGATATGTATAAATAAACAAATCGTGCAAATGAAAGCAATAGCAACACAATTAAAAAAAAACAAGTTCAATAAAAAAGGTGTGAAAATCGTGCTAAATTCCGCAGAAATGAAAAGGCTTGCATACCTATGTATTTTTCCGACAGTAAAAAAGATGAACTAACGCCCCATTAGTCGTGCGCTGTCACTGATAAAGAAGATATCACTAAAGACATTGTCGTTTGTTTGGTGCGGTTTTGGATAATTTAATAAAATTCGAATTGGTTTTAAAAATTTCACAGATTGACGGTTGACATTATTTTGCTTTTCAGATTCTACTCCAAAAGAAAGTAAAATAAAATAAATAAACAACATTTCAGGTGAAATTGCGCTTTAACTTAAATTTGCAAGCGTTGCATAAGTCATAAACAAATAAAATAGAAGTAATAAATCGATATTTAAACAAATAGTCATAATAGTGAAAATTTCAAAATGAGTTTGCGTGGCGTACATGCACGGGACTCAATAGATTCGATTGAAGTTGAAGCTGCAACTCGAATAAGTCGCTATCCTTATGTGACGTCCAATCGATCGGTTATGCGTTCAATTTCAGGACCAGGCTCGTTAGCGCCAAGTAAGTGTTGAGTGCTACATATAACTGATTTCATACACACTATAGATGGATTATGATTTTAAATTTATTATTTTTTATTTATGATTTTTATTTATCGTGAGTTTCCCTACAAGTAAGTTTTTAAGGTTTTTTCACATTTTGAAACTTTATTGTGCCCATCGTTAGCTATAGATTTCTCTCACTTTACTGGCAATGCATGGATTCCGCGTCAATAAAATGGCATGTCTTTGGAGACCAAGAAAGTATGAAGCCAATTTTTGATACCTTTTAACTGAAGTGAAGCGTACGCCCGTAAGAGCGTTCTGCATCGATCGGAACAAATGGTGGTCTGAGGGTGCAAGCTCTGCGCTATAAGACGGTTGGTTGGAACGTGCCATCCGGTACCATCGAGTTAAATTTTGACCACTTGTGCGACATGCGGCCGAGCATTGTTGGTTGCGTATTTCAGGCATTTTTTCGCAATCGCTCGCTTCAATCGCATCATTTGTTATCTGCAGAGAGTCCCGTCGATCGTCTTGCCCGTTTTTCAGAAGCTCATGATACAGGATTCCCTTCGAGTCCCACCAAATGCAGCGAGTCGATGGTCCAGGTTCGCTATGCTTAACATACGCGTCCTGGCGCTTTGGAATGTCGTTATGAAACCATTTTTCATCGCCGATGATCATGATTAGCAAGCAGTTCTTATAGCGGGTTATGGAGGTGAGCACCCGAACAGACGTCAAAAGGCATTTCCACAAAACGAAGGATGAGGTACAAATGCCCCTGGAGCCGGGACAGTCTGGTGATTAACGGCATTCACAGGGAGACCGCAGCCTTCATAGACTCCCGTCCTGTGAAAGCCTAATTACCACTCTCAACTGCCGAGAGAGGCCCAGTTACGGACTGGATATTGTACCCGTCCCAACTCGTACCTAGGGATAAGTAAGCCGCGACAACAACAACACCTAAGACACGTTGTGAATCACCAAATTGTTTTATATTTGATACATATATTTTACTTATCTATGTACTCGGTAGCGCTAAATAAAAACTAGCTTATCAAGAAGTGTCTTATCAGCCAACAAACTGTTGATGAGTAGAGCATAAATTTAAAAATTCCATAATACAAATACTTACATACATATACATATGCATACTCTTACATATGTATATATGTATGTAAATACATACAGTATCGCTCAATACAATAGTACCCCCATTTCTAAGTGATATTGTTTGCCACTCATGTTTATTTATTTTGAAGAATTTTGAATTAAAATACAGTACATTCTCTAACGAAACCCGTATAAAACCATGTTTACAACTTTGTAGAAAACTACAAAAAATGCAACAAATTGTCACCCAAATTTCAAACTATTTCACAAAAGTGTTAGAATTCTTTTGAGTGCGCAGTTTTTTAGCCCATTTAATTGTAGTCTAATAAAGTGCAAGTTTTAATTGGCTAGAAATTACCATTGATTTTTTAGAATTTTTTTTGCCGATGGTGTTGCGGGTTTCCTCCATATACATAGAAACAAATTGTTTATTCGTTACATAGAAGCAAATGCGACAAAAAAATCTAAAAAATCAAAGGTAATTTTAAGCCACTTGAAAGTTGCACATTATCAGATTGGATGGGCTATAAAACTGTGTACTCAAAAAAAATCTAACACTTCTGAGAAAAAAATTTGAAATTCGGGTGAAAATTTGTTGCATGTTTAGTAGTTTTCTACATAGTTTTAAACTTGGGTTTATATGGGTATTGTTAGAGAATGATCTGTATTTTAATTGAAAATTCTTCTAAATATGGCCAATACTGTAGATGCAGTAGTCGAAAAAATTATAGCGGCTACACATATTGAAAAGTTTTAGCATAAGGTCCATTCTTTTGCAACCGAGCTACAAAAGAACACTCGCTTAAATGACGAAATACACGCAAAGCAACAACACAAACTCGGCTGTTTATCCGAGTTCAGCAAGGTCGGTTAAAAAATACGCGACCTGAAGGATAGTGTTGTCAAGAGAAAAAACTGCTCTATTTTGAATTGTTAATGGGAAAGTGGAGAGGGAAATTTTTTTTTTTTCCTTATATACGTGACATATTTTAATAAGTATATGTATTACGCAAATACCTCGCATAATTACTTACTAAAATTGGTTTTTGTATATAAACCCCGTTAAACTAATCACATGTTTCTTGCCAGCTACCAACAGGGTTGCTTAAGTAGCTAAAAGGAAATTTTATCCGAGTTGAGCGTTCTTTTGTCGCTCGCTTACAAAAAAAATGCACCTATATTATACTTTTGTTTTTAAATTAGGCTAATTTTTTTTAAATAAATACAGTTCACTCTTTAACAAAAACAATGTAGATCCAAGTTTCAAACTTTGTGCAATATAAAAAAATTAAACAAACATTTGTAAAAATTTCGTGCTTTTTAATTAGATTTCTTTTGAATTCTAGTAAAATAAGTAACGAATTTCAAATAGTTAAAAATTACCGTTGATTTAAAATAATTTGTTTTTGCGGAAGATGTTACGGTTTTCTTCCATATAAAAATAAATTAGGGCAATTCATCTAAACGCGTAAATGCCTCGTAATTTTGTATGGGAAAATCGGTTTATTTACATGGTTTACGCTGTTACGAGGGTTTATTCGTTAATTAGAAGCAAAAAAACTAAAATATTAACCGTAATTTTTAGCCATTTGAAACTTGTACTTTATTCTACTAGAATTCAAAGCTCGAAATTTTTACCAAAGCTCGTTGTTTTTATTTTTAATATTGTCGTTCGACCTGTATTTATATAAAAAAGAACCAAATTTAAATAAAGAAAAAAATAATGATATGTTAAAACTTGTCAAAATGTGGTGCGGCTATAATATTTTCGACCACTGTAGGTATGTATGTAAGTCCAAGAAAGAAATGTATAGATGCTCTGATTGTTCGTATACTAGGGTGCTCTGATTCTATTGAGTGACATTTTACAGAATATTTTGAAAGTGAGACAGTCGATTATTGAACTTTATTTCATTTAACTTGACTTGTGTTGACTTCATTTCATTTCGTTTAATTTGATTTGAGTTAACGTGTCTTGATTGGTTTAGATTTAATTTTTATTGATTTGATTTGCCTTAATTTGATTTCACTTCATTTGTTTTCATATGATTCGATGCGATTGGATTAATTTGGTTTGCTTTATATTTACAAGACTTCTAATATTTCATATCAGTTTGTTTTTGTTTTTATAATGTTATCACAGCAGAGTTCCCATTAATTTTCAATAGTTTCACAGCTCTGGTCCGTAGTACGTCGTTTCCATGTGCTTAGTGCTTAATGTGCCAGTAAAGTCAATGAGATTCCAATGCATTGAAATAAGTACACAATCGTTAGTAATTTATAGATCTTAAATCGATCGACATCTTTGAAGTGAATACATACATATTTTGTGAGCAACATTGCGAAATGAATTTTAATCGAACGGATTCGGCACAGCGTCTACTGGTCGATGCAAAACTTTTTGGCCTCCTAACTTTAGGTAAGGAAACGGACGGCTGATGTCTGTCTCTTAGTGTAAATACGAAACCAGCAAATTTTACCAGTGAAAGTAAATTAATGAATTAGCAGAAGGGCTGGTGTCAGGACAGTATTTTAGGGTGTCCCATTTCGTTTATAACTTTTGCATGGCAAGCAATTACAAGCACCACCTGCCACGCCCCGCCACACCGTTTAGGCATCAAAGCAAACGATTGTAGTAACACCAGGCGAGGCGATAGTATAGCACCAGCACCAGCAAAAGTCAAAAGACAGCAAAAGGAAAACACGCAAAATATTTACTATTTTTGCCAGCGAATGGTGAGCTAATGTTCATGCAATTGTGTAGTACCAGCGCCATATCGCCTGACGTTGCTGATATATTGATTTTCATGCCAAATGTGGGCTCTATGTTATTCCTTGTTGTATTCGTGTGCAACTTTGCCCGCAGCGCTATTAATTTTCTGTGTTGAGCTTAATGTCTTGTGTGGTGCCTGAAATAGGCCAACAACAAACAAAGCCAGTAATGAGCTGCAAAAATTGTTTGTAATGGAAAATTTCATTCAGGAGGCATGCTGGCGTTCTTCAGCTGTAATTAAAACACACGGCATTAGATGGCTCGTGTGAGTGTGCTTCGCTTGCATCGGTAGGGTGAATTTAAGTATTTAATAGTTTCACTTCAACATTTTAATTTTTATTTATTTTTAATGATTACTTAATCAACGCTTTGCTCATGCACTTCTTAACTATTTCCTTTTAGGATCCGATTCTCCAACATCACTAGCAGCGGCAAGACAGTCTAAGACACCGGTGCCGGGTGAAGTCGCCGATGATGTGCTTCCCAATGAAATCTCCGCGCCGTATGAAGTACCGCAATTCCCCATCGAACAGATTGAGAAGAAATTGCAAATTCAAAGGCATTTAAATGAGTCAATAACAACGAGGTAAGCAATTAATTTAAAATACTGAGGTTACATAGGTATGTACAGTTGTCCACATAAGTAATAGGAATGCGATATTTTAACCTGTATAGCTCGTTATTTAACAAAAAGCATACACAGTCACTCAAACAAATGACCACGTGTTGAATTTTTTTTAAATATTTTAAATATTCGTAATATATTTTTCTGTCAAAATACCGTCCAAGCTTTGCCAAAAATATATACATCACAGTTTCAAACTTTATATAAAATTTAGAAAATCTCGTTGATTTTTGAGAATGTTTTTTTTGGTGACGGATTTTTTGAACTTTTTTCCATATAACTATGAATTTTTTATGAAATAAAATGCGGGAGTCCGTTAACAACAAAATTTCAAAATATGAACAACAGCTTTTGTAAATTGCACTTGTTACATAAAAAAAAACCGCAAAAGCAGTCTCAAAAAAAATTTTCAAAAATCAACGCAATTTTTTAGCCGGTTGAAACTTGCACTTCATTTAATAAAATTGTATGGGCTATAATAAAACTGCATACCCAAAAATGTTCAGATTAAAAAGTTGAAATTTTGATAAAATTTTTTTGAATTTTCCTAAATTTTGTATAAAGTTTGAAACTGTGATTTATGTGTTTTTCATAGAAAAATAACAACAAAAATTTACATCATAGCTCGAAAAACATTACGAATATTTTAAAAATGCAACACGTGGTAATTTCTCGGGGTCACTGTATGTAAATCCAAATTTCAAACTTTGTGCAAAAATTCAACCAATTTTCACCAACATTTCAACTTCTTATTAAGCTTTATAGCCCATTAAATTTTGGTATCTATAATAAAGTGCAAGTTTCAAGTGGCTACAAAGCACCGTTGATTTTTGGCATTTTTTGTTGACGATGCCACGCATTTTCTTTCATGCAATGTATGCACCAAAATTTCCCTTAATGGAAAAAAATCAAATTTTACTGATATGTAAACAAAAAAAAAAACTGCCTTAAAACTTGAGTTTTATTATACTAAAATTTTATGGGCTACTTTATATCAATAATTTGACTAAATATTACAAAAAATAAATCTTTAACTTTTGGTGAAAATTTGTTGAATTTTTATAATTTTTTATTAAAGTTTTAAATTTGGATTTATGTTGTTTTTGTTAGATAAACTAAGTAAAAAATGACTGTTATGCATATTTTTGTATTAATTGCGTTGAATCTGTGCGATCCATAAGAAGTTATATTTTCCGATCTGAATTTTGGGTTAGCTCAGTGCGATATGTACTTGTAAAATTGAGGTAAATTAAATCAATGAAACCGACTCAGTGGTGTAGAATTCATAGTTTTTTCAAGGTTTGGGTAGATGATTACAAGTAGTTGTTCATACACATATACATACATACATACATACATATATATATCTGCTGTGCAAACGTTAATTATATGTTGCAAATACATAATATGGATTGAAATCAGTATTTCATTTTCTCGACATACATACTTGCACACCACATCCACATTTGCAATCGTAAATAAATGAGTGGCGATGTTAGTTGTCAAATTGTGTGAAATTTATTCAATAAATAGGTTTGCAATATGGCCAAGATTTCCTAATTTATGCGATAATTTGTTCAACTAATTGATAGACACTCACATACACAAAGACATGCAAATATACTTATTAGATACTTAATTTTTTTGGATAGGTTGCACTTAGTTCCCGTCATATGATTATTTTGAATAGATGCCAAAGTGTTGAAATGTTTATAGGATCAAACTGTCAAATGTCGTTTATTTATTAAGCAAAGGGAAAATTAAAAAAAAAATGTTTGATAAATTCGTTTAATTAGTGCAATATGATTTATTTCGACATATGTTTTATTGGCCTTGTAGGTATTTCCAAAGGTTAATTTTTCTCTATAGGAGCGGGTTTCCCTCATTCTAATCACGACAAACTTGCCCTCAGCCCCTGCAACGTGCTAAATCTTTTTTCTATCTACGTAAATGGTAGGCTTCAGGCGATCTGCAACGCATTAGAATTATAGATAACGAACTAGATTTATAGAGAGAAACGAATGGGAAAACGTTTCGAATCCAGATCCATGGTCTACCGCAAAACACTGTGTCGGTAACGTCGGCAACAATGTTTAACTGGGGATTTGTGTTAACCAGAGTTGGCCCTAACGGGGAAGTAGTGATAACCAGGCATTGAACAACCGGCCCTTAGCATGTAGTGTCTAATAGTGATGGGCGGAGTTATAGAACTGACTCGTAGCAGTTGTCGTACGCTCAGGACCACTTCAAAATCTTAACCCCTGACGCCCGATGGGTCTAAAGGACACTTTAATTTTTGGTTTTCTTGAAAGTTTCAATGCAGTTTTTTTCAAAATTTTTGTATTAAAGAAAAAAATGTCTCTTAGTTATAAATTTATACGGTGGCGATTTTTTTTTAATATTGTTAAATTATATTAATTTCAATTGAAAACCTTACCGGTCTGAATTTTCTAATTTGTCTGCCGAAAAATTAAAAAGAGCAGCCTTTGCAGAAACAAAGTTGTAAACCGCCTTTTGTTTCCTATCTTAATTGAGGTCTCCCCTCCAAATAGTAAATAGTTCACTACTGACAGTATTAAGCATACACACACAAAAAAAAAGAAATTTCCTCAGAAATCGCAATACTGGATTGACGAATTAAACTCAATACTCTTCATTTTACACATTTTCGATAGTCTAAATACGGCTAAAATTTTTAAAGATTTTCCAATTTAAATTTTAATAAATGAAAGGCTATGTTAGAAGTATTCCTTAAAAAAATTGTCTCATATTCAGGAGAAAATTTTACCTAAGAAACGATTTCTTGTAAACTAGTGTTATTTATTAATCTATCTATCTGTTCACCATCAACGTGGTATGGGTTCCCGACATAGTGAAATATTCGTAAACCTCCCAGCAGATGAGCTGGCAAAAACGGAAACTAGCCCATGAACGACAGGGGACCCACCTTTCTCTCTTGAACCCAGGGTACCCATCTTTCTCTAGGTGAAGGAGTTTAGTTCAGTATTAAAGGTTCTGTTGTTGTTGTTGTTGTTAAAATTACAGAGCCTTCGTAACATTCCAATTCTCACAAGAAAACTCTTGTTTTTTTCTCTTGTTTTGAAAGGCGTTTAACCGAACTTTTGGCCGAATTTGTGGTATGATTTCGAGATGTTATAGAAGAAAAAAAAGACTTTCTACTGCCTGATATTGCTAATGGCAAGGCACAGCCATCGAATCACATCTGTGCTGGTCACATGCTTAGTCAAGTAAATAAGAATCCCTGCTCAAGTTTCCAATTTCATTTCGTAATACATATAGGCCAATTATAGCACGTTTCACGTTTTTTTTTGCCTACACACAATTGCTAACTTTTGGACATTCTGACCGGCTTTTCCGTAAATGCCTTCAAGCAACTGTCATTTTACAGTTTTAGTCTCTCTGCTGTGTGGTGGCATTCACCCACCCACCATAGATACGAGTATGTCATAAGTATCATATAATGCTGTCAGCCAGTGCTGTCATATGTGAGCGTTGTATAAGGGAGGCGGTAGCCGGTGTGTGTATGTGCACATCAGTGCGTTTTGTGGATTCAAAATTTGTCAGAATTTCTCACTTTCGTGGTGTTATGACGCTATTCTACTCACATCATAGCATGTATTTACATAAACTAACTGGTGGGATTACGCGACATATCATCATTGACACCATCCACAACCATCCATCAGTGTTTAGTGTTTTGGTGTTTGACAGCTTTTACGGACTTATGTAGGTACCTCGGAAATATACACCTGAACAGTTGCAATGCCTATTCTTCCGAATACGCGTGTGTACATACATACATTGGTGTGTGGTAATGAATTAACGTATTTGTACAGGTACATTTGTATGTATGTATTTAGCTATCTAGCTTGTCTATAACCTGGTACTGTTTGTTAGCCGCGTACAACCCGCAGATTAGTTTTATTTTATTTTAGTACGATTTTTGCATTCAAATGACTTGGAACGCGGTGTTCGTCTCGTCGTTGTTGCGACAATTGTGAACCAGGTTCATTAGTTTTCACAACGGTAACGCGTACCAAAGACGTGCCCACCGTTAAAGGTACCAACACCATCGCTGCGGCATACGAATGTCAGTAAATATCGGTCGATGTCAGAGTAACGCGGCTCGTGTTTTTCTTAATACTTAAAAATGTAATTTAGAATGCAAGTTTGACAGTCGAGAAACTCAGTTTTTATATTTTTTGGAGCATGTTAGGAATATGCATGACCATATCGCTCATTTGCTTCAAAATACAAAAATTTAATTAAGTATGCAGAAATTACAGCTAAATACCTCTTCTTCTGCGTTGTGTAAAAATTTCATAGCTGTATCGATTACCAGTATTTTCACTAGAACGAAATATGTATTAATTTTTACTATGCCCGTATATGTAAATTCACAACTTTAAAACCGTTTATTTCGAGTTTGAGCGATATATGATGTAGGTACATCCCGCCCGCAGTGACTCAAACAATTCAGGTGTTGATTTTCTTTAAATAATCAATGTTTTCAATTTAATTTTGTTTGTTTGTTATTTTTCTACAAAAATATTGTCCAAGCTTTAGTCAAAACCATTTGAATCAAAGATTCAAACCTTGTACAAAATTTATGAAAATCCAACTATTTTTTATCAAAACTTCGAGCTTTCTAATGTGGATCTTTACAAATGCATACCCAAAACTGTTGTAAAGATCCAGATTAAAAAATTCGAAATTTTCGTGAAAATTAGTGGAATTTCAATAAATTTTGTATTAGATTTGAAGCTTTTTTATGGTTTTGGCCAAAGCTTGTTCAATGTTTTTGTTGAAAAATAACAAAACAAAAAAATTAACTTGAAAAACGTCTTGGAAAAAACTTGTTCAGAACACTGTCCGAGAGGCTTTTTAAAAGATTTATGGACTCGGTCCGATAATATGAGCGCTCAATTAGTCTCCTCAAACCGCTATAAAAAGATCGTCATCTCAAAAGTAATTATTAAATCCGTTGAAGTCATAAAAGATAAAGTTTTTCGCCAGCGAAGACTACAACTTCGGGATTTAAATTTTGGCGTTAGTTTTTCCATAAAGTGGCATCACGCCTTATAGCACCATTATATCTTCTCAGCTATGATGTGTAGTAATCGAAACTAAAAAAAGCTTCCGAAATTCCACTCTTGACTCTCATATTTGTGCATTTATTGATTACCTTTTTTTACATTTCGGCAAAAGTCCTTTACCTATTTGGTGGTGGCATAAGACCAACTTTTTTTCTTGTTTTAAGTGCAGTGTCACCGCAATCATATAGTGCTGACCTCTCAGTGCACCTTATATCATTTCCGTGTTGCCTTTTTGTTTCGGTTATATTTCCTGTTTTTTTTTTTCTTTTTTCAAACGATGACGGCTGAAACAATATTTACCCCAGAAAGTCATTCAACCGTGAGCTCAACCAGAGATTTTAAATACAATTTTTGCGAACTTCTTAAGGCCAAATTGACAAAAATGTGTGGAACTCAAGTTCACCTTTATGCCCTCTCCTATCCTTACAGTCGGCAGAATCAGAAAAAAATAAGACCTTCAGGAGTCCTTATTTCAGATATTTTGAAGCGATAGACGTTCCGTGCTCCTTTCTTTACTCCTCTTATTATATGTTTTTTTTGCCCTTTTAAAGATTATTCTTCAGAATAAGACTAAGGGCCGATTGTTCAATGTTCAGTTAACACTAATCCCCTGTTAAACATGCAGACAATATTGCGCCGGTCGCCAACAAATTTTAATTGGGAATTAGGGTTAATCAGACATGATGACAAAGGCCCTAAAACAAAGACTCTCCGATCCCTAAAAGTAAAATCCTTAACTTCATTCCTGAAGAAAAGTATTGTACCTATTAATTTGCATTCTATTGCAAAACTCAGTAAGGGCAATGCAAAAATAAGTATGGTAATCGATTGTCCCATTCAGCATAAAAAGATAAAAGATTTTTTAAAACTTACATATGAGGTCATGAGAGCAAGAAAAATTTCTTTGAGTAATACCTATGAGAAAGAAGGATCTATAAATAATAAATACGTTACTCGCCCATTATAGTAAAAAAAAAAAACAAATTAAAAGGGTGTGCCTCGGGCTATTACCGTTTCGATTCTAGTAATGCATTTTAAGCTGTACCTAATTTTTTTAATGTCAGATCTCTTGGCTACTACACCGTGCGACAAAAATCTAACAATTTCAAAACACAAAAGAATCAGCATACTTGCAAAACTATGGGACTAGTAATAAACTACCTTTTTAGCTTTTTTTTGACGTCAGGATTTTTTTAAAAGGACTTCGCAATATTTATGACTAACTCAAAAAAATTTACTGTCGCACGTTGATATCAATGCATAACTTCTCAGTGTTTATGCGTAGAAGACAAAGAAAAGGTTCCATTTTCCGATAGAAACGAAATCGGCATTAAAGTTATTTTCAATTTATTTCAATTAATATGCATTGAAGACGACGACTCCGTTTTCGTGTCACACGAAATTTAGTAATTCAATTAATGGCATTTAAAGTGTGCGCAGGTTAACACCTTTCTTTCTTGCGAACTCCTTTAATGTCAATTTGTTTTGCATATACATACATATTTATATTATCATCCATCAGTTGAGACTTAGTTCGCAAGAGGAATTGGATGATTGCCAACAATTACGTAAATATCTGTTGCAAAAGCCGTCTGCGTTGTGGAGGTGCGTGTGTCGAATGGCCCGTGCCATTGACTCATTCCTATTCGTATTATGTTTTCTTTGTCATAACTTTAAAAGCCGAATAACAACAATAATAACGCAATCCATCATAACATTTTTATCGCATCGAAAAGGTCAATTATGTATATAACTAAAACCAAAATTTGTTTGAGCTACTCTGAACCATTTAATTCTGGAGTTGGTAAATTTAGTAGTTCTTAGTCCTTTGGTGGTGGCAAACAAAGTTTTTAAGTTCTATTCATGCTTGTGATACCCGAAAGTGCCTTATTGTAATAGTCAAACAAAGTGATAAAAAGACGTGTCTCAACGTTGAGAATGTCATTCGCCTGTGATACCTATAAGTTTAAGACATTCGAGTTGTACTACAGGTAAGAAGCATTTTTTTTTTTTTAATAATGCAATTAAAAATTATAATTTATAAGAGTGTGATGTTTAAATTAACTGCAAACCGGATCGGGCTGTCCAATTCACATTACATTACAAACATTTTATTGACAAAGTTGAGCATTGCGAACTATTAGTGTCATAGCGTTAATATGGTTCAAATATAATAAAAGAGATTCAATTTTCCTATAAAACTTAGGATTCTAGTACAAGTACTTTGGATTCTTAACCGATCTCTGACATACATCGGGTTTCCATCCAAGATTGGGATGCTGACAATTTCTACGCAAAACTTTCATCGCCGAAATTCTACAAATGAAAAGCAGTGTAGCCTAAAAGTATAAAACTTGAAAAAGTAACAATTACAATCAGCGAAATCTGGTAATATGACGGACATATAACTAGATAGTACATGTTGTTAGGCGCGCCTGCTATTCTTTTAAATATTTTTGGCGATCAGAATTAGCGATAATAATTTTCAGAATCCCGTTTCTGGAGTAATCACGATAACGCCGGCTGTGCTTTTAACCATACCCACCTCTCCACAAGTATCTGGATCGACTGAATGACTCGTACAACTCCTAAATTTCGAGCTAATTGCGAAAATTGTGAAAAAAATGGCAGGTACACCTCCGAAATTTCGATATCAAACGGACCTGAGATTCGGATTCAGAGGGTCGAAATAGGGTCTGGTTAAAAGCACACACCATTTTTTTTGTATGCTGGTGTAATTAATATATGGTTTCAGTCCATGGTTCAATAATAAAAGGTTTGCTCAGAAAACAGTTTTCTCGCTCCCTCTTGACAAAATCGTCTCCCTTAGCAAGGCACTGTGTGTGGGTTCGTGTGTGTGTACGCTAAGCTTTTGTAAGGAAGGTTCCAAACTCTAATGTCACTAGTGAGTAAACCTTTAATTATTGAATCATGGTTTCAGTCAGCTGGTACTGCTTTCTTCAGCTTACAAGCTCAAAAAGTACAATTAAAATTTGACAAGGTATGACGAAAAATCGTTCCATCATACTCCTACCCAGTCAGAAACACCAACAACCCAATTAGAATGTATTTCAAAAGTTCAATGTTTAAAAAAAATGTCATAAACACATAAACAACTGTAGCTATTAAGCCGACGAGCTTTAACTAAATTTTTTAATAATTTTCTTGATCATTTCCATTTTTTTTTTTTTTTTCGGTTTTCTAGCCGACCCGCTAATGTAGCGGAAAAATATACATCATTGACCAGTGATGAGAGTTTAGCGACAATGGAGACCGTCGATGCAGAGGAGCACGATTTGCCCAATTTTCAGCGTGTCTCCATTTCTGGTGAGGATACTAGCGGTGTGCCATTGGAGGATTTAGAACGCGCCTCCACCCTACTAATACAAGCGTTGGAATTACGCGAGCGCTATATGTTACATTCTGGTCAATCATTCCCGACAACAACTCGCCGTTTTCTGAAAACCGTACACGAACGTAATCGTTTCGGTACGATTGAGCACGAGAATCGAAAGACCATTGCTGGTAAGTTTGATCTGTTACGGCTTTTGTTTTGCTATTAGAAGAGTACTTACTCATAGGCTACACACAGTTCTCTAATAATTTGTAGAGGGTTATCGAATTTCGATATTTTTGTTCTAATGTAGACTTTAGTAGCAAGTTTTCAATTTTGATTACTTTATAAATACTACATAAATACATACTATGTACATAGATATGTACACGTCTTATTTGGTTTATTTTAGCAATAATTCGATTGGTGTAATTTTAATACTTATTACATGTACTTATTGTTTATAATCTTTTATTGTAAATATGTACAAAGCAAAGTTGTAGGATTTTTAACAATCTAAGTTCCTCCAAATAACAGTTATACACTTAATATACATATATTTAGTACAAACGCAAACGTCGCTTTGTCGTGTCGTTTTTCTTCTTGCCTATCGCACTGCAAACTTTTTTCCATTCTTTTTTGTATTCATAACTATTTGCTCTAAAGTTGAATTTTCCAAAAATAAATTACGTTTTTTTTCAAAATTGTTTTTAGTGCTAGTTTTAGTCACACACTTTTCGTTTTATTTATTTGTTTTTTTTTTTGTTATCTTTTATGATTTTATTTTGGACAAATATAAATATTTTATTTCCAACATTATTCTTTTTATAGCTATAATACGCAAGATCAGCCTCCCCAGTTCGCAGACAGGTAATTCGTTCGTTTTTGCATTTCACCACTGCAGCGGGCGAATGAGTTCTGTATTTTATTTTTGGTTTTTTTTATGTGATTTGCTATTCTTTGTTTCAATTTCAAAATTTTATTGCACAGTTAAGACAATGAGTTACTTGCTTATACACTTATGTGAATGTAAATCATCTAGAAATCGGAAATGTTCCTAAGACTTTTCAATATTTATGTATGTATGTTGGAATGTGATTGATCTGCAATTTATTGCCGTGTTTATCTTTTGGCTTTGCCTATGTTTTCCTGATTACAAATTTATTATGACAATTTATTTATTTATTTTTTTAAATTTTATTTTTTACATTTCCTTTGCCTCTATTTATTTTCCGTTTGAGTGATTCCATTAATTTGCACGCAAAATTTTTTCCGCTTTTTGAAATTCTTTAAGTTCTTTGTTCTGCTTTGTGTTTAAATCCAGACTATATTTCGTTCGCCATTTTACGCATCAAATTATACACATGTACATACTATATGTATCGGGGTTTAACAAGGTTACATGCAGCTGTTGATTTAATAAGAAATCATGTAGAGGAGCTACCATTTGTATCTCATATATTATCAATCTGTCGGCTAAATAAATCAACAGCCTTATGACTCATCCCTTTGTATGTCTATATGCGAGGGCAGCTACATATATTCTGCGACTAGTAGGTGTTGTCTGGTTCAATCTGACATTTTGAAAATCGGCAAAATCTGTGAATGCCGTCCAAACTCAGACGTTCTATTGGAACTAATAATGCAAGACAGAGATTTGATCATCGTTGACGTACACCCACAACCTGACACCTAATATCTTGTTTTTATTTCCTCAAATCAAAACAACATTTCATGGTTAAGGGTTTTTGGCTTCCAAATAATCTGTTGAAAGGTTGAAAGCCTATATTTTCGAGGTGCCTAAGTGGGAGGGGAATAATGGCACCTTAAATGATTTAAGCTTATGTAAAAGATATGTTTATGAAGCTGTCCTCATTTATATGTAGTACATACTCAGGAGATTTTTAATATCCATATGCGCATATTCTGAAACTAGCTAAATTGTGAGTCAACTTTGAAAAGAAGAAATCTATTTATAATACTTACACCAACAATGCTTTACAAGCACCAAGGCATATGAAACAGGTAGTAGCATTATTGCGTTACACATTATTCAAATATTTCGTTGTTTACTTCCATTTTTAACAAATGTAAGGTTTTTTTGCTTTCAGCGCCTTCTGTTTTTATTTACAAATGCAACCCGGCCTATCGTTTGACACTTTTCATGAACTTGCAGGAAGAAAAACCTCGTGTAAGATCCTATAACTTCGGACCGAGAAGAGTTGCTCTCTTACTCTCTCAAAAGTGTCCCCAGTGAGAAAAATTCTTGTGTACGGTAACGACTTCCTGTAATTTAATACTATTTCTTACTATGTCCTGGACCACTGGAACAAAGTAATTGATCCATTCTTAGCAAGGTCCATTAATTACCGTTTGTGCTACTCAGCTGAGCGAACGGTTTCAAAGTTGGTCTTCAATCGCTTCTTTTTGTGAAAAAAGGTTTCCCATGAAAATATATTTTGGAAATTTGGAGTTTTTGTGAAAAATAATAGACAACCTTTTACACTTTTTAGAGACCAAATTATTTGGAAAAAAATAAATAAAAAAAAATCAAATCAGGTGATCTACTAATACCACATTCTGAAGTAATCAATTACACGGGCCTGCGAAATTTAACTTTTTCTCCTTCCAATAATTTAGCTATTTTTGTTTAGATATCTCGGGATCTATTTTTCTTGATGGCATTTTAGAAATTTGTATCAATTTTCATAAAAATCTAAAAATTAATTCATTTTAAATTAAATTTCTAATTTAATATCCTAAATAGAAAAAGGAAGTCCGAAATTCGAATTTAACGATAGTAATAGGCAGTAACTAGCACTAAGGAAAATGAAAAAGGAATTTCGTTGGAAAATTTATTTGATAGATTTTTTTTTTGTAGCTTATTTGGTACCTAATACCTACCCAAATTGGCGCTTGACGCGCTATTTTAGGGACACCGATGAAGTATTTTTGCCAGACAATTTCGAAAAACTTTTGCTAAGAAAGTAATTTAATTATCCCAGTAGAACTATTTGAACAAACTATTTTATTGCCTAATTTAGGTGTCACCGTAAAAAGCCAAAAAAAAAAATTAATTTTTCCAAAGTACTTTGCAAATATACCGCACAGGCATACCTGAATAAAAGCGTCGGCGTTGTCTAGCTGTCAAAAATTTTTCATGCCCATACAATTTGTACGAAGCATGCCGATATACCGCGGCGACGACGTTGAGCAGTCGGAATATCCGATTTTGACAGGGCGTTAAGAAGTGAAGTTGTTTGCGCCTAAACGACGAAACTGTCATTTTCGTATTTTGCACACTCAAACCTATGCTCGTTTTTGCTGTTATTTGAACATTTGACGAAGCGTTACCGCTTTTGCTTATGTACGACACTTTGCGTGTTAACGCTAGGCGACAGAAAACGCTTCCCTCAACGCTTTTGTTTGGATATGGCAGTTAGACTCAGGGGTGTACGGCCAACTTTGTTTTCCTAAGAATTCCTAAGCCTATCACATTTAAATTTTGGTCCCGATTAGAGACGGTTGAGGCGTGTCGCCAAGGGGACCAACATTTATATGTGATATCTTTGGTCGCGGTATTATCGATTGAGGGGGTGAAACCTAAAAAAATCCTTAATTTGATTTTTAAGGACCACCATAATACATAGAAAAATTTGCTAACGCTTAAGTCGCCTATGCCTTATAACATATACAGTATCGATCATATCTATAGCACGCCATTTCAGAGTGATAGTGTGTGCCACTTATGTTTAGTTATTTATTTTTAAGAATTTTCAATTAAAATATAGTGCATTCTCAGACAAACAAAAGTGCAACAAATTTTCACCTAAATTTCAAACTTTTTTCTCGGAGGTGTTAGAATTTTTTTGAGTATACAGTTTTTTAGCCCCTTCAATTTTAGTCTGATAATGTGCAAATTTCAAGTGGCTGCGGATTATCGTTCATTTTTAAGATTTCTTGTCGCATTGGCTTCCATAAAATGGATAAACTCGATTTATTTGTATGTATATGGAAGAAATCCGCAACACCTTTGGCAAAAAAAAAAATCCAAAAAATCAACGGTAACTTTTAGCCTCTTGAAACTTGCACGTTATTAGATTAAAATTTAATGGGCTATAAAACAGCGCACTCAAAAAAATTCCAACACTTCGGAGAAAAAACCTTGAAATTTAGGTGAAAATTTGTTGCTCTTTTTTGTAGTTTTATACAAATTGTTAAACTTGCGTTTATATGGGCTTTGTCTGAGAGTGAACTATATTTGAATTGAAAATTCTTAAAAATTAATAAATAAATATAAGTGGCACACAACATCACTTTGAAATGGCGTGCTATAGATATGACCGATACTGTATGTATGTAGTCGTATGCAAGTGCACTCTTTTGTTTTTGTGCACAACCATGTACAATTGCAGTTACAAGTTAAAATCTTTTTTCATACAAGCATTCATAAATGCTATACATATTTACAAAGAGCCGGCAGTTAAATATCCTTGAATATTGTGTGCCCATAGCCGTGACCTTTACGAGCAGCGTTGGTCGGTTGTGCTGCATTTAACTTGTTTATATTTCGTTTTTTTTTTGCCGAGTGTGTTTTTGTATTTCTAAGCCGCCCACTCACGCTATTCAATTGAATTTGAAACCTTTGTTTTTTGTAACTGTGTTTTTTGTGTGCCTATTTTCTTTGTGTTCACCTCTGTGATGCGCTTAATCAACTTAGCGTTTAGTATTAGCGAATATACATACATACGTATGTATGTATACGTGTAGATACAGTATAATATGCCTATAGAATAAATACATACATACACAATAATTGACATACATACATGTGCAATTATATACTAGATAACACTGATTGGTAGTGCAACAAATAAACATTTCGGTTTGGTTTTTTCCTCTTTTCTTTATTTTTATGCGACACTTTTACACTTATGACGTACACTACATCGATATGTGCATGCGTATGCGTAAAACTATTTTTGAAACGCAACGCTATGCATCGAATGCAATTTGTTGTAATTATAATAACGACAACACGTAATGAATTGAAAAAAACAAATATCAACAACAACAAAAAATATGCAAATGCAATTTCGAATATGGAATACACAACTACACACCCAAACACAACTATACAACTGGGACACGCCACGCCCCACCGGCACCATCTTCATGTAAATCGTCATTTGGCACCCCACACCCGACATCCGACACTCGACTCCATCAAACGGCGCACACTCGGGTAATCGTATGTAGACCATCCCATACATCCGCCAACTGACACGTCCGACCCATGGGACTTGGAGTTTCCACCTGATAACGAATATGCTATCAAAAGTATTAATGGTGTCTTCCACGTCTACAAGGATAAGGTAAGTGCGCCATATTGGTAAACTATGTATACTAATTTGTTGTTTTAATTGTTTTGCTTTTCTGATTATCCCCTACTTTAACAGGAATGCACGCAAGTAGTTAAGTGTGAATATCCAAATCTCAAAGAATTTGTGAACGATATGCAAGTTATGTGCAACATGATCGTCGATGGTCCACTGTAAGTTGGCTAAACCAATTGTTATGGCTTTGCTATTATTTTATCCTTTCTTCTTTTTTTTACATAGGAAATCATTTTGTTATCGCCGTCTTTGCTATCTCTCGTCGAAATTCCAATTACACGTTCTCTTGAATGAGCTGCGTGAGTTAGCCTCACAGAAAGCGGTGCCACATCGCGATTTCTACAACATCAGGTAAGTAAGATTTTTTTTTTATAAACGCTGTCCACACGCTGTCTAGCATCCATTGAGTTTAGTGTCGCCAACTAAATATGTTTCTTTCAACACCTGATTTGGTTATAGTAGTATATCCCAATGCCAATATTCATTTAAAATCCAGTTTTTGTACGAAAGTCACTAAATACCTCTCAGAATCAAAAAAAATTGGTACTAAAACATTAAATTTAGAATCTTCAATAAAGCACAACATTTAAAAGAGATTCGCAACTAGAAAACTACAATTTCTATAAACTTTTTAATCACCACTCAAAGAAATTAAAATGTTAGGTTTACGATATGCATGTATGCAGTTTAGCTTATTACATATCTCAGATAGATTCAGTGTCCCAACCAAGAACGTGCTACCCATTAACGATTATGTTAGTAAGGTAGAATATGCCCATCAAATAACTTCAGGAGCTAAAAGCCCTGCAAAAAGGCCTTACTGAGAGTCTAGAGGACTCCCATTCTGTATTTCCTTCTATTTTTTTTGTATATGGAGAGGGACACATTAAAGGGAGGTCTGCTTTGGCTTATCATAGAAGGGCTTCCAGAAGGTATATACATATGTACTTCAGAAGGCTCTTTGGAGTAGTTGTTCTAAAGCTCCTTCTTTAATTCAGAAATATCATACTTCTTTAATGTATTTATATAAAGTTCCTATCAAATATTTAAATCGGAAAAGCCCTTATAACGGGTGATTTTTTTGAGGTTAGGATTTTCATGCATTAGTATTTGACAGATCACGTGGGATTTCAGACATGGTGTCAAAGAGAAAGATGCTCAGTATGCTTTGACATTTCATCATGAATAGACTTACTAACGAGCAACGCTTGCAAATCATTGAATTTTATTACCAAAATCAGTGTTCGGTTCGAAATGTGTTTCGCGAACCCAATTGCTGCGAACGGCGACGAATCGACATTTCACGGTCTTCAGCAACACTCTCAGAAACAGACGCAATATTCTCTTCTGTACGCACTGTACGCATTCGTGTGGTTGGTTTAATGTCCAATAAAGTAAACTGAGTGCGAAACTTGGTCACAATCGCATTAATTGTTTGCTCACTTGGTCGATTATGTAGACCATAAATCGGACGTAAAGCGAACCGAACACTGATTTTGGTAATAAAATTCAATGATTTGCAAGCGTTGCTCGTTAGTAAGTCTATTCATGATGAAATGTCAAAGCATACTGAGCATCTTTCTCTTTGACACCATGTCTGAAATCCCACGTGATCTGTCAAATACTAATGCATGAAAATCCTAACCTCAAAAAAATCACCCGTTATAATACCTGCACGGAAGCTCTTCTTTCAGCACTTGTTCGGTAAGCCTTATAGGACGGCATTCCTTATGAACGCCGACCTAAATTGTCTTCCGGGTAGCAGCTTCAAAATTGTAGCAGATCGGATGATTTGTGTCGCAACAAAGCGACAGAAATTGTTTACTTAACATACAATTATGTTGCTTTACAATGAGCGTAAGGGCATAAGTTTGTAATTGATGTTCAGGCATCATCATAACGAATTGTCCGGCTTTTCGGAGTGTGATTTTGTGGCAGTCTAAGCCTTCTTCCGGTCTAACTAATCTCTGATGAACAAACCGACGCAACGTATCTCAGAACCAGCCGGACAATTGTCTTGGGTATTGTCAATAGTTTCTCCTTTTATTTGTCTCAAAAGCTGCCGTTTTTGTGAGGACAAAGTTTTCGAAGATTACCTCTCAAACTGTCTAGTTATTAACTGTTATATTGGTGTAACGTGGTCATGAAAATTCACAGTCGCAAATTCACTTATTAACTTCAAAGTCGTTTTTTTTCGAAAACTTATGTTCGAACTTTCCCTGCCACATATATGTTGTCCAAACCATTTTTCGAAAAAAAAAATTCTAACCAAAGTTCTTTATTTAAATATGGTCCCATGCATTTTATGGTACTTTCAACTAATTCTTTTTCTTCTTCTCACCTTTAGAAAAGTGGACACTCACATACACGCGGCCTCTTGCATGAATCAAAAACATCTATTACGTTTTATTAAGAAGACACTAAAAAATAATTCCGATGAAATTGTGACAGTTACCAAAGGTCAACAAATGTCACTGAGAGATGTTTTCCAATCGATGAACCTAACTACCTATGATCTTACCGTAGATATGTTGGACGTGCATGCAGATCGGAACACATTCCATCGCTTTGACAAATTCAATTCCAAATACAATCCGATCGGTGAGTCGCGTTTACGTGAGGTCTTCCTAAAGACGGATAACTATTCGAATGGCAAATATTTTGCGCAAATTATTAAGGTAAGGGTAGACACAGGAAACATACAAGTTAAATATCTTTTTCGAAAACTGAAATGTTTATAAATATGTATATATGTTTGTAAAGTAGGAATTTTAATGCTCTGACCCCCTAGGATTGTTCTATATCGAAAAAATATATCCACGTTTTTTTTTTTTATAAAAAATTATTTAGAGGTACCTCAAAGCGCTCAAAGTTTCCCCATGTACATATTTTACAAGGGGGAAAAGCTATTTGAAAATCAATATTTTTCAATCCGCAAACTGTGTTCTCTTCAAAAGCCATCAAAAAATAATATCCAATTGTTTAACAATTTTTTAATATCGAAAGTTTGCCGATTGTAAAATATTGATTTTCAATGGCTCCATACCATTTTCTACGAAAAAATTTCCCCCGATATAAAATACACATGTGAGAGCATTAAATTTCCAATTTTACTTTCTTTGGACCACCCTAATGTGTGCACATAAAACATTCAAAATATATTTTCAATATATTTTTGCCTTATAATTTAATTAGGAAGTTGCCTATGATTTAGAGGAATCGAAATACCAAAATGCAGAATTGCGTCTTTCCATTTACGGTAAATCGCCGGATGAGTGGAAAAAATTAGCCAAATGGGCCATCGATTACAATGTGCATTCGACAAATGTACGCTGGCTGATACAGATTCCACGTCTTTAGTAAGCACATAAAATTATAAATTTATTTATATAAAAATGAATTGATTTCAAATAACATAATCGTATTTTACCCCTCTTTTTAGTGATATATTCAAATCCAACAATTTGATGAATTCATTCCAAAATATCCTGGATAATATCTTTCTGCCTCTATTCGAGGCTACCAGCCGTCCTAATGAGCATCCCGAATTGCATCGATTCCTCAAGTATGTCATCGGCTTCGATTCGGTAGACGATGAATCAAAACCAGAGAATCCAATTATCGATGTGGATATACTAACACCAGAAGCGTGGAGCGAAGAGGAAAATCCGCCATATGCTTATTATATTTATTATATGTATGCAAATATGACGGTATTGAATCAGTACAGAAAGTGAGTGGGTCTTTATTGTTTCAAGCTTTTAGCTTATAATTTTTTATTAACAATTCCACTTACATATGTATTTATTTTTTTCGTCTAGAGCGCGTGGCATGAACACATTTGTTTTACGTCCGCATTGCGGCGAGGCTGGTCCTGTGCAGCATTTAGTTTGCGGTTACCTAATGGCTGAGAATATATCTCACGGTCTGCTGTTGCGAAAAGTGCCTGTACTGCAGTATCTGTATTATTTGTCTCAGATTGGTATTGCCATGTCTCCACTTTCCAACAATTCACTTTTTCTCAACTATCATCGCAATCCGCTGCCAGAATATTTAGCACGTGGCTTAATTGTCTCACTATCGACTGATGATCCATTACAATTTCACTTCACAAAGGTAAGACGATTTGAGAAGAAATATATTTAATTATTAATTTGTTTTACTTTCTTTTAGGAACCGCTAATGGAGGAGTACAGCATTGCGGCACAAGTGTGGAAGCTTAGCTCATGTGATATGTGCGAATTGGCTCGCAATAGTGTAATCATGAGTGGCTTCCCGCATAAGGTATGTGTGTTACAAAAATTAAGTCCATTGAAAGGATAGGAAAAGAGTATAATATATATACCGTAGATATGTTTCAACTTTAAACTTAAATCGGCATACTCAAAAGTCCTGAATTTCTTGAATTGTTATACATTTTTTAGAAAGTGTGAAATTTAACACTTCGCCTTATCATTAGTTTCATTTTCCCCTAACCGGTTCACTTTTCACTTTTTGTTTCCGAGTATTGGACGATTGTACGCTTTTTGTCATAGAATAAATTATATTTTTATAACAGAAATTATTCAAATTAAATAAAAGGAAATTAAATTATCAAAGTATGTGAATACGTCGCGCTGCTATTTTCGTGAAAACTGCTGTAGATTCTTAATCAATTTGAAAATCGTACTAAAATACTTTACAGGAGTACTTCGCTTATTCATTAAAACATGTCACAACATGCTCATATTTTGTTGTTGTTTTAGATTTTCATCTTAAACTAATTTTATCACCATCTTATCTTCTCAGGTCAAACAACATTGGCTCGGTCCCAATTATACCCGTGAAGGTGTTGCTGGTAATGACATTACGCGCACGAATGTGCCCGATATCCGTGTTTCCTATCGAAGTGAAACACTGCTGGACGAGTTGTCGAACATATTCAAGGTGCACGAGATTCCCAAAAGTGAGTAATTCACGTTGCTCCAACTATCGCAGCACTGTTGCGATAACAACCACACTGCGTCACACAACTGAGCATCCAGAAGTATAAACCACCACTGTGGTGCTATGGCGTTGCAGTCGTCATCTTCTCATGAATTTATGCAACCTTCTTAAAGGATTTTTTCTACTACAGTTACAACTAAAATTACTTACTAAATTATTTCTACTACTACTATTACGACTACCACAACAGCTACTAAAAATCACATACATACAGTTGTTTCTACTTGTATGTGCATATATGTTTATGAATGCATCTCGCAGGTAAAGCGCCTCTAGAAGATATATTTTGAGATGCACACAGTATATGTACATACATACATACATATATATATCTATGCATGTTAATAAGTAAATATATAGTTACACGTNCATTTTATATGTACCTATTATTATAAAGAAAAATAACAATTATAAAATCAGTTTCAGCGCGAAATTTAAATGTAGCCAAAGATGAAGCTGAACTAGACAGCGAAACCGATGCAAGTATATCCTCACATATAAACTCGGAACATTGCACATGCTTGGAGAATTTGTAGTTTTCTTATTTGCCAACAAGATGATAAAAGAAAAAATATATGTATTGGTATTTATAACGCGCATGTAGCTTATTTCAAACGAGTAACTGTTAATATTTGTTGTATTTACGCTCTACAATTTTATGTACCTTTTGTGCAAGGTTTTTTCTGCGGCTTGTTAAAATATATTGCAAAAGCAAGATATGTTCATTAAAACCTGTAACAACCATTTCAAACAGAAAATTATATAAAAAAAATGTTAAATGGTAAATAAATAAATAAATAAATAAAAAAGTGACAAAATAAATCAGCTGTTGTTGTTTTTAAATTGCCGCTACTGTGCCATCTGACTCTACTAGTACACTGCCTCCCAAACTTGTTTCGCAGTACTTTTGTAGCCACTGTGGTGATGTAGCCTAAATTCAGGCAACGATTTCGTGCTGGAATTTGCGGCGGGCGCTTGCTTCCTGCTTCTGAGCGCCTGGTGAAAAATCGAGCAGCAAAATGTTTGGCGACTGCTGCGGTGACCAGGTGAAATTTTTTTTTAGAAAAACTGTTTTCAACAAATTTTGGAGCAACAAGCGCTGACTTCAATATATTATTTGTAACTAAATTCCTCACAATTCGAGTTACTTTTGCAGCACTGTATACCAGAGACCATAACGGTTATAAGAAATAAAATTAAATATTATTGTATTGTATTGTGTTCTGCAATTCACTTCCGAGGGAATTTCAACCCTTGCCAATTTGAATACAATGCGCACTTGACTCAAATTCACTCGCGTTTCTGCTTTTTTGATTAAAAGAAATCATTCAAACCACATGGTTTGAACTATATTATTGTAAATTAGACGTAAGATTTTTAAACTTGTTAGGCTTAATAGATGTTAAATAAGCAGATCCAACAAATAAATGCACGTATAATAAAAAAAAATTCTGTTAAGAAATGGACGAGATAATCTGCTCTATCAGCAGTTCTACATACGCTGACGATCAAAACTAAGTGCATGGTGATATTTTATTTTAAATATTTACAAAGTTTTTCAAGTTATTTTTTTTATTTTGTTATTTTTTATAAAACTATTGCTCGTGCTTTAACCAAAACTATATAAATCAAACTTTTAAATTTTTTACAAACTCGAAAAAATTAACAAATTTTCATCAAAACTTTGAACTTTTCAATCTGATTTTTTTTTAATTTTCCAAACAATTTTCTGCTAAAAAATCGCTTTTAATTTGACTATATTTTTTGCTGTAGCTCTTTGCACTTTTTTCCATATAAAGAAGAATTTCTTGTGGAATAAAATGTGCAAAACAATTAAAAAAAAAAGTTTACACCAACGGCACTTTTTTTGAAAATTGCACTTGTTATATGAAAAAACCAAAAACGCCTTCAGCAAAGAAAAATTATTAAAATTCAACGCGATTTTTAGCCGCTTAAAACTTGCACTTTTTTTACTACATGAACCATGTAACTGCATACCAAAAAATTGTATAAAGATTCGGATTAAAAAGTTAAAAATTGTTTGCATTTTTCTAAAGTTTGTATATTTTGATAATAAAATAAACAATACTTTTATAAAAAAATTTAACACTTTTTAAACGTGCACTCCACTTTTTCGAATATGAAAGTTCGGAAATAAAAATGGTGAAATCGAATTAACCGCACAAAAAAAAAACAATTGATAAAAAAAATTCATTTATTTTTTTTTTGCATTTTACTTTTCTTGCTTTCGCAAGTTTGAATACATAAAACATTGAAAGTTTCACAAATGTCTGAGTTAGTACTACATAAGTATTAAAGCGATAAATTCATAAATAACTCTTTGTTAAATGGTATATGTGTGTATGTACAATACGTTACAAAAATGTGAACATAAACATATGTAGTTCATTAGCAAAGGAAAGTGTACATATGTATGTAAGTTAAAAAATGCACACACTAACAACTAAAAACTTAGATGCTATTGAGTTTTATATGCGCTTAAATGCGAATGCGCTGCTAATAGAAAATGTTTAAGGAAATATTTACTGTACATACAAACATATGTATGTATGTGTGCACTTATATTTAGGAAAATTATTTGCATTTGGAGCTAGTGCTGCAGCTGCCACTAACTTTTATTTTCTTCTTAAGTGCGATTGAAATAGAACATAATATGTCGGTATTATCGACTTTTACAAACGGCAGTCTGCAAATTTTCTTTAAAACATTGAACTTTTTAATTACATTATTTATTACTGAGTGTGCACTTCTTTAGAAAATTCAATTTTAGTGCAATAAAGTGCAACTTTGAAGTAGCTAGGACTTACCACTGGTTTTTGGCAAATTTTTTTCTAAGGCATGTCGCACATTTTTTTCCCATATAACAACAATTTTATACAGAGAAAATGAGCAACACCTTCCTAGCTACCTCTAACTTGCACTTTATTATACTAAAATTAAATGGGCAAAAAAAGTGAATACTCAATTTTTTGTTCTAAAGAATGTAATTAAAATGTGCAATATTTTATGAAAAATTTACAGAATTTTCTTTAATTTTCCACCAGGCCTGGAACTCTGATTTTTGGGGGTTTTGATGTAGAATTAACCATATTTTTATAAAAAGTTTGCCAAGATTGGTTGACTGTATGTATGTATATAAATCATTTCAAACATATAAAAAAAAAAACCAAAGTTGGTCACTGCTATTATTTTTTTTCGTTGGCATATGGATGTAAATGCATATTGCTCATCGTTAGCGAACTTGATGAAAGGCTTTAATATTAAATAGTGTCAGCGGCGCATTCGCATTTCAAAAACGACACATAAGTACAAATAAGTTTGATTTTTTTATTTATTTTGTGATTCCATAATTTCGTTATTATTTAGTTTAGCCGCAGCCTTGGCACTACGTCTTGAATTGCTTATCTTTTTGTTTTTTTAATGTGTTCTTTAAGTAGTTTTTATAATAATAGTTTATGGTCTTTTTAATGCATCATCCTTGCATCGTTTTGTTTTTTATTTCTTTGATGTCGAAATTAGTCTCTTTAGATTGTTGAATACTCATCGCTTTTGTTCAGTCGCTTTTTAAAAAGGTGAATTCATGCCCAACTTGGTGCCAAAGTCTAGTCTCGCACGCCGCTGATAACGCGTGTTTACCCTGTGACGAAAGCAATCGTGAATTCATTACAAAAAATATCGATTTTAAAAATAAATTTTTGAGAAACTCACTTAATTTCCTGCCACTTGCATATTTCTGTGATAGTCAGACTTATCAAACTTCCACAGTAGAGAAAAACTATTGCCGGCCACATGCCACATGCCTCTTTGAAGTAGGTGTCGTGCAGGAAAATCTGCACTGCACAAACAACTACATGCAGAAGTAGTGTGCAGCTGCAGGTGAAGAACCAAATGCTATTGCGGAAGGGATTGCGCTGCCACAGCGAGTGATCCCGATGCACGAAGCTGGCAGAAATCATCACTGAAATTTGAAAATGCTTTCAATTATATTTACATAACTTAAATAGTTACTTTACAAATTTTGGATGCTTACCAAAATGTACTAAAATGCCAAGAAATGAGAAAATGCGCGCGATATGCAAATTTATATGAAATTTCTCTTCGTCAATGTCCATGAGTTCGATGGGATGTGCCATAAATGTACAATAGGCTAAAATCTGTTGTGGAATGAAAGCAGGAGGAAAGGTTAATGGTGGGTAGCAGGTATACGTACATTATCTATGTTTAGTAGTAAGTTTACACGATTGGCCTTAGGAGTTAAAAAGTATTTAAACTTCATACTTTTTTAATATTTACGATCAAAGCTTCGGCGCAATATTATATTCGCACGCATTATTCGTTAACGACATTTTCATCGACAACGGTTATATTCGCTAAAGTTCGTTATCGACATGGTATTTTTTGCTTTACTTATACATAAACATATTAATCGCATCCTATCGATTTATTTGCCGATATAATTTTCGATATGAATATCGATATTGCTACCTATTTATTTCTCGACACACATAATATATTATATATACAATATTCTCGGATATAGGCTTTAATATATTCATTGGCATCTTGGCGATACTTTCATAGACAGTTTTGTGTAATATGTTTAGTGGTATAGTATTCACCGGTACTCCTTTGGATACATTTCGATGGCCTCGAACTCAGTTATCTCAACAGGTCGATAACGGTCAAATTTTCCTATCTTGAATGCCATTCGATAGACTTTCTCAACTTGATGAACTATTCTAACTCTGTACTAACTCACCTTTTTTGGGTCGTATGTAAAGTGGTTAAGCTATGGAGCTTATACACAACTAATAAGCGCGTCTCAGTTAGGATAGTTTGTCTGAGAGCGCTTAGTTAATACAAAGTCAAGATAGTTCATCGAATTAAGACAGTCTTTCGCACGGCATTCAGGATAAGAAAGTTTGAGGGTTATCGACCAGTTAAGATAAAGTATCTCGGGGCCATCGATTTATCGATAATGCTCCGCTTTGGGACGCGTAATATCCGTATTTCTTTTGAATATTTTATCTACATATATGTATGTACATATTTTAGCAGAGTATCTAGTAGATAACATCCGATTTTATAAAAAAATCCAAACGTAAGCTTATGCTAGTCTATTAAACATACTCACCAGCACCAAAATGGGCGCAATGAACTTGCAGCCGTAACACCAAACCACAAAACCAAATACGCGTGTGTCATATTCAGTTTGCTTCTTGCCCGTTGCACGATTCATAATCTTTGGGTCGACATCGATGTGCGCTAGAGCGAGAGCTATTAACGGCACCGGTATACTCATCAAATAGATAACCATGAGTGGCGTCAGCAGCGGCGGCAAGGAAAGGCAAGCACTCAAAATGTTAATCACCGAAAGCGCACCAGCACAGCAAGCCCAGTACTGTATGCAATTCCAGAGTCCTGAAGAGAAACGACGCGATAGCTCGATAATGGCTACCAGTGACAAAGGTTCATCGCGGCACACCGATATGGAACATGGCAAGGAGTTGAGTAGTCTGCTTAGATAAACAGGCGACACAGTATTACCCGTGGATTGCATTGGACGCATTTGCGGCTCGTCATTGCCATAGAAGCCGCTCTCGAGCAGCTCTTCGGTGGTGTAAGGCTCATGACTGCCATACTTCTCTTCGCCATTGAGGTCTTTTTTCAAGCGTAACAAACGCAATTTGTTGTTAGTTAGGTTTCCCTCCGTGTATGCGGGAATATCTTGGCAAACTTGTGGGTACAGCGGTTCAACCGCAATGCTGCAGTCGGCCTGCAAGAAGATCTTTGCGTTTGAGTTGCTGGCCGAAGAGCCGAGACAGACGACAATTTCGCCATACGATTGCATGATGTCAAGCATTTGACGCGTCGCTTCAGGTGAACAGTCGGTGAAAAGCGATACTTGTAGCGGCACGTTATCCACTTGCTCTAAATGCGGCCGTATATTTTCGATACCGCGCGGCAGTTTCGCACGATTCGACATATCAAAGTGCACAGGTGCGCTCTGTTCCGTGCTTTCCGTAATGATGCTCATAGAGCGGCAGTTCTCATCCATTGCAGAGTCCTCTGACTGGCGCTGCTCCTCGGCATCAGCTTCAGCTGCAGCTTTTATAGCATTACCTTCGTCGCCGTCTCCAACCAGGTGTAAAGATTCCACTTTTCCGTTACCGTCCCCACAGCTGGCGCTGCTGCGACGCGACGGCGGCGATGAACTAAGCTGTACCGCACTGTAGTCGCCCGGATTAGAGATTGCGCCAGGCGCTGATGAACTAAGCGCTTTGGAAGACTCGAGATTGGCGGGCGGCAGTAGGCGATGCAAATCGCTGCCTTCGTCATCGGCATCATTGTCAGCGCCGGTTGTACCTCCTGCAATATTCGATGTATTTAGGTGCATTTGATGATTGTGATGCGTGCTACTAATACTACTACTATTTTTGTTGTTGTTTTGGTTGTTGATGATGGTGGTGTTGTGGTGCATGCTATTGCACTGAGTTATGTTTTCAACTTTATGAGGCAATGAAGGTTTACTACTACTGATGGCAGTGGTGGTCGAATTGGTGCTTGTGGCAGTGTTGTTCTTGTTTTTGATGATGCTTATGGCTGTTGAGTGATCATGAGCGGACTCGACAATGTTGTTGATATTATTCGCAATAGTAACATGCGCTTCTTTGTTACCAGATCGCGTGGGCGTTTGCCCAGCCGCTGACGTACCACTAGTGTTAGCCTTCTCAGCGCTGCTGTTTGCGGCCGCGCCAGTATTCGTCGACGCCTTGTCGTCTGCCTCATTCAATAGCGATATATGACAATTCCAACCCGATTCCAGACCCATTTTCTCCGAAAACACACGCGAACGCAACTCATTTTCCTTGCTGAAGTGTACGAAACGTATGCAAGCGCGTTCCAAGCGCTCTACCAATTGCACTATATCTGTCTGCGCTTGGTACTGCATAGTCACCATACCGATGAACACCTGATGGCACTGCATCTCAAAGCAACCATCCACATCATTAATGTCGTCGTCTTTGCTTTCAGAGAACAGCAGCGAATCGGTGCTGATGCTATGGCTTAACTTCACATGGCTATGTCCACTTTCGAAGTCACAGTGTGCGCGATCTACATGCCGCATACGTATCTTTGATTCGGGAGGCAACTCCAGATAGGCAATTGGACCGCCAGTATGTTTTGCGCCGCTTAGCGCGCCATTTATGCCATGGCGAAGTGGGCGATATGAGAAGGCCGTGCAGTAGGCGGTGAGCGCACTGCGTTGATAGAAATCGAGCGCCTTTTTGCGGTCTTGCGGCGACAGCGGACGCAAGTCTTTGCCATCCCAGAAATCATCGCAGAAATCCATTATAATGTCGGCGGTTCCCTGGGTGAAGAGCGATAAATAGCCACCGGGGGTTTCGCGCATCACCACCGATAAGGAATGCGGAAAGGGTACCTTCACTTTGGATGAGAGTTGAAGTTGGCGCGCAAAACGAATGTCACGACGAACCACCTCCGGTTGCTGCAAGGGACGAAACAGAGTTAAAAAGTTAATTTATACGAGTACTTCATAAATAGACAATTTGCTACTTACCAAGTGTCTATAGGAAGCCAGTTGGCCTTCGAGTGCAAAACGATCTGTGGCATGATCGGTAAAACCGATTTGTTTGGCCAATTCGCAGAGGCAACGTCTGCATGTGAATTCGAAATTGCATAAGTTTAAAGTTTTATGTTATTAACTGATTTTAGTAATTTATTTGCTTTGCATGTGAGGTGATAAGTATAACACTGATGTCAAATTAGGCATTGGAACATGTAAATATGCATGAACTATGTGGGCATATGTGCCTATTGAGATTTTATAATGAAAATAGCTTAAAAATGAAAAATACAGACATGTGTAGAATATTAAGACCACCTGGCAAAATCCGGATGGCAGGCTTTGAGGTAGCAGAACAAACAATTTTGTGAAAATATTTAAAATAAAATTGTTGTAGTTGTTAAAATTACAGTTGTCGCTTTAATAGCTGTGTGTTGGGGGAAATCGTTCTTGTGATCTTAATATTTTGCACATGACTGTAATTTTCTAAAATACAAAATAGGTAAAATGTAAAATTTTTTTATGTTTTTGTGTAAAGATTTGCAAATACACAAACACTTAGGTAATCGATGAATGTAGTAATACGAAGCTATGATCACAAATGTATTATGTATGAGGATATAATGTATATGTATGTATATATGGGGTATATAAGTGCAGTGAAACCTCAATATAACGAAGTTGAAATGTTTCGTTATGCCTATAGTTTCCTTATATTTATAGAATATTAAAAGTTCGATACAAAGAAAAATGAAAAATTTTGGAAAAAATCGTTATTTTAGAAGCCGCGTGGTCTAGAAAAACATAACAAACACTGTTGGTAATATGGAGCAAAATGAAAACCTGTCCAAATCCACAATAAAATCTTCGTTTTGTTAACTTTAGTCCTAAAACTGCCAGACCCATTTCTAGGGGTTTGTCGTTTTAGACAAAAATATTTTTACCGATTGGGTATTCTACCGGAATCCGCAATAAAATTTTCTTTTTTGCAAAAACAAAATTTTTGACACTTTGCTAAGTGTAGTTTCGTTTTTTTTTTATCACGGGGACTTTAATGTCAACATATTCAGACTTCAAGACTTCGTTATATACAGGCTTTTGCTAATCGGATTCGAACCGTCAACATATTCAGAATTCGTTATGTAGAGGCTTTTGAGTCGCAGTTCGTTACATTGAGGTTCTTGCTAACGGGACTTTAACCATCAATAAATTCAGAAGGTTTTCATGGCCAACATTTCTACGGAACAATTTTGTATTGATAATCTCCCAACAACTAGGTTTTTTTCAGGGGACAGTAAAATATTTTCGTATATTGAATAAATCGTTTTATCAAGGTTTGTTATATCGAGGTTTCACTGTACAACATATGAAAAAAATGCTTCAAGTATATACTACATATACAACTGACGTTAGCTAAAATAAATAACACTTAAAAGAAATCCGTGTTAAAGACAGTTTGGAAATTTGTATAATCAGACAATAAAAGAGCTAGAAAACGAAGTTTTCTCTCTTTCGCCTACGAGATTCAGGTACAAGATTAATGCATGTCACGCGCTCTGGCATTCAAATCTGGGTAACGACCAGCAAGACACACCAGACTGACGAGTAACTGCTGCAGCTCGCTAGCCATGTTCACAACGAGCGCGAACATTAATAAATTGCACCTGAAAGGGGCGAACGGACATCTCCCTACGCTCCTCTCCCCATGGATAAGTGATTCCAAGCACTACTCCCCCGCCTCACTTACAAATCATCTACGCCTGGTCTAACATCGACATGGATTCAGAAAAATTCACCTACACCGTTCTAAACGCCATCACCGCTCAAATAACAAACGACCTCAATCAGAAGCGCCCTTTGTGCTTACCAACTCTTGACCCGTCCAATGTTTTCGACACAGTCCACCAAGCCATGGAAACATCGTCTCATCGACAGTACACATCATCACGAAGTAATGGGTGTCAAACTATATAGTTGTGGAGCAGGAAGTCATCGGTGTCATTCAGAGGTAAAACATTTAAACCAAGGAGAAGCCAACACGGAGTACCACAATATGACGAACTGTCTCGTATCCAATTCAATATATACATATCTAACTTTCCGAACTCCAGCATCCGCCTAAGGGAATCTCGATCATCTCCTTAGCAGCAGACATTAATAACTACTTTGGGAAGGTCCCCCGCTGCGAAATCTACGGACACCTTATTCACCAGCTAGACGAAATAGGTTAGGCTGAGGTGGATATAGAGGAGGTCGATGGCACAAAAATATCGACGCGGACATTGTGCAAGTAAGACGCCCTCCACCTTATTCTCTCGTTTATATCAGACCTCTACGTGACACAAGAGTCACGCTGGCCCAACTCCGGTCCAGTAGGTAAAGTAGGCTCAATTCGGACATAGCCTCAAGAGAAACCGCGCGCTTCTTAGGGCTAAGGCTGCAGAGTCGGATGGAGAAGAGCTTAGCGCTGAAGGAACCAAATAAGGCAATAGTAGGTAGGATAATTGCAAAAGCTTTGCCACAGAGAATTTCGTTGAAGAAAAGACAAGGGAACAAGACCATTTCAGAGGTACGAATTTCTGCTTCGGCTTTTGAGATCAAAAATTATAAGATGCTACTAGTAGAAGTAGCGACGAATGAGATAAGAGTGTTGGAGATAATTGTTCTATTTTGTTGATGACATCTCGGCAGCACTTTTGTACGTGGCCAAGAAAACATGCAGCGATAGTGTGATTAGGTGGATAAAATTTTTCTAGCTGGAGGATCAAAAAAATTACACCTGATGAAATACTATTGCAAGGAAGAGTGGTTAACCAAGAGATAATTTAGGTAGGCCTTCTTAAGTGAAGCCATTCTAAAAGACCTACCCAAGAAGGGTTGAACAAAGTGCTTCCCAGCATGCCTTCTAGAAGTGGTTTTTCTTCTGTTTACAATTTACGCGTATGTGTAATAAAGTGGTCCAAAAATGTATGTAAAAAAATAAGGTCGCATTTTTAATGCCGCCAGCCCCTAGGAGTGTTCTATACCAAAAAAATATACCCCTGTTTTTGATCTCAAAATAAAAAATAGGGGTATATTTATTTTCGGTTCAGAACAATCCTAGGGGGTGGCGGCATTAAAATTCCGACTTTATTATTTTGGACCACTCTAATGTGTAATTTTATATTTTCAACATTATAAACGAATTTACATAAATATTCATTTTCCCAATTTTCTAATAAAACATATTTGATATGAACCTTAAATAATGTATGTATTTACACCTTAAAGAAGTATGATTTTTATGAATTAAAGATACGGCTACAACAACCCCGCCCAGATCGGTTAGTCCCTCAATGGAAGCGGAAGACCCAGGAATCGTGCAGCCTCGATGGGATCTGTCCATAGGGACAGGGACGTTAGCTGAGTGGAGTTTTTGGGGCATGCGAAGAGTTGCCGTGAGCTATGTGGCGACTCTCCGCATTCCGGGCATTGGTTGGGCATATCCTCGTTTATTCTGCTCAGGCATGAGTTTAGCCTACTGCAATAGCCAGAGCGAAGTTGGGCTATTGTGGTGCGGGTCTCCCGAGGCAGACAAAGTTTTTTCCTGTACAGGTCAGGAGGTTGTGTGCCCAGAACGGCATTCAAACATTCATTCGGTCCAATGTGTAGGTGTTAAGCTCACGTCCCTCTTTTAGACCAAGACGAGGTAAGACTTAACCACAATACTGCATGAAAGACTGAAACGTTCATGAACCAACTAACTGGATCATATCAGTGCGGCTTGAAACCTGCCAAAGCCACCATTGAGCAGAAAAGGAGCTGCCCTTAGACGCAATGGCACGCGATTTTCTAATTAGGGAACGCAGCAAAATTTAAAGTGACGTTGAACTCAATTTTGAGCTCCGAATGGCCGCAATAGATAGCTTGGTGCAGTGCAGCATTTGCCAGCATAAAGGAGACAAAAATAAATTGGTCTAGGTAGATATAAGAAGTATATATTAACTGTTAAGTAGACGCCCAAGTATCCTCTCCCTACTTAATTGGAAACAAAGAGTGTTCGGAAATCGAATTAATAAACTAGATTCAGTCTCAATGGGAAAGCAAAGGATGTGTCTCAGTAGTGGGACATTTTCTCAAGCAATTCGGTGAGTGTGATTTTAGAATTTTAAAAATAGATTTCTAATAATCGTGCTCAATTTCTTAAACATACGAAGGACTTTTAACTTTTTTTTACTAATTTGTATCAATCGGTTATTTTTGTTTTAGCTGTAACCTGATTTATATTAATATTTAAAGTTTGATTAAAATTTTAAATATATTTTAATATAAACGTTTTCTCCTAGCGGCCAAACTGTTCAACAAATTTACGTGTGTAAAAAACTCTCTTTCATTCAGATACTGATGCCGAAACTCAGCAAAATTACATAAAACAGCAAACTTCAGTAACACAATTAAATATCTGAAAAAAGTATGTAGTATCGAAATTGATAGAAATGAAACTACGAGATATTTATAATTAAACATAAAATTGAGTAAAACACAGGAGTTATTTACCACAAAATGTTAAAATGATTAAAGCAATTATTTACGCCAATTAGGTGTTACAACATGTTAGGACAACATAAACTGTGCAATTTTATAATTTTGAAAAATTTACATGCCGTAAGCTCTAAAACAAAAACTTCAAAAAGCAAATATGACTAAATAAATAAGAGGAAAATGATGTTATTTTTAGTGCAATTAAACCAGTAGTCCATTTTTAGTATTTAAGGCTTCAGCATAGCCTTTTGAATGAGTACAAAAGTTTTTTCATTAATAAAAGCAAGGTAAAATATAGAAAATTTATATTTCAACCGCGTGTAATACAATACTTTAAAAGCGGCGTTATTGAAAACCAACATTTTCGGTAATCGATTTATTTGTTGTTGTTTTTTTGGGAAAGTGCGTCAGTGTAGTGCTGTAGAAAATAGCTTCGCATCTTACAGGAATTTCAACAAATGTCGCTATTTAAAAATTATTTAGCGCATCAATCCGTTTTTCATGCTTTGTAAAGACGTACGTAGCACGATTTCTGTTTAGACAGCCTTATTAAAATGAGCATTTAAAAAAATACTTTTTTGTTTTGAATAATTTGGAATTTGCATGACGTTAAATTTCTTGATTGGTATACAAATTTCTCGCTTAATATTTGTGCAAAATACAAAAACCTAGTTGTATTGGAACAAAAATTTGGATAANTTCATGTAAGAAGAAAACCTTCTCGGCTGTCGGATTTGGCCATGAAAGTATGCCTTTCTTGTCTATACAACAGAGTGCCGTGATGGAACCCAAAACCTGAACTAAATTCGATGAGCGAGGTAGTAACTCACTTTCACCATTCCATAGTTGCCACCAATTGCGGAAGACATTTGAACGTAGCAGCGAAATATTATCATAGTCAAAGGTTGGACTGTCCAAATCTTCTTCGAATGATTTTTCGGAGTCTTTGGTGATAAGAACTTGTGGTATTCTGAGAAAGCACTGCAATCTTGCGACTCCCCACAAATTCATTGATATCCACATGATGGGGAAGATGAGTGGAAGTAGTGGTATCACGGCGGCTGCGGGTGTCTCTAGGAAAACGTATTTCCAGTAATGTTGCTCATCGGGATGCCTACCCGCACTAGGCGAACTGCTTAAACCATTTATGCGCAATAGACCGGCGAAAAGTGTCAGACATAGGGCACATATGAATCCCCATTGTTGGATGTACTTCGTCACCAGCTGCATATAATAAAGAGAAATCAAATATAGATTTGTTAAGAGAATAACATTATAAATCTGATCAATTCGAGATCGAAAACTTCGGCGATCTTTGTTATTTTCTTTTCCATAAGTAGAAAATGCTTCTGCTTTAACTAAGTAAGTCCAGATCATAAATTGATTAATCTTGATTGATTGATTGATTAAATTGATTTTATCTAATATCACATTTACCCACC